GGAGAAATCCACTAACACAATCCGGTTTGGAAGCCGGAACTTCTTCTACACACTCGGTTTTCTAGCTAACCGAAAACTCTACAACTCACACTCTTGCAATCACACTCTACACCCACTAAGTGTTGGACCTAGCCGTGTCTCCCTCAAGTGCTCGGTTACAACCTCTCCCTAGGCACGTCAACCGACGCCACTCCTCTTGGGACGATCCCCGACTCTCACCACACACTCCTCACTCGGTGTACAAATGTATTACAAAGTGATCTCACAATTAAGCACAAATACAGTAAATGATTTGTTCTCTACAATAGGTGAGAACACAATGTAAGCTCAATCTCACAAATCACAATCCCACAACCCACTATATGATGTATGAAATGCTACAAGCTCAAATAGGGTGTGTGTGATAATATGAGCATAAATAAATTCTAACTCAATTAACAAACTAGCAATAATTGATAATATGAAAATAAAAACGAATTGCTAGAGAATAGAGTTAGAAAAACTTCTCTAGAACAAGAGAGATGGAGATGGAAGATTGAAAGCCCAAATTGAGATTGTTCTCCTCTTCTTGTAAAACAATCTTCACAAAACTAATTTTGTAAATAAACACTTAAACAAACTAATAAACTCTTTTTAAAACTTTTCTTAGATGATTATAGAGCTGGGTATAAGGGGGTATATATAGGAGACCCCAAAACACAAGAAAAATCCAGCAAAAAGACAAAAAACCCGAAAAACAAGGAGTCAGAAAAACTAGCCGTTGTACAGTGATAAGTCGACTTGCTACAGTGATAAGTCGACTTATAACTAGCCGTTACGGTCAAAAAACAGCTTATAAGTCGACTGCAAGTCGACTTAGAAGATGGTTCAGGTTTCTGGCAGAGTCTGAAATTTTGCGTATCTGGTTTTGTAAAATCAATTAAAAATAGTAAATCAACTCCAAACATTATGAAATTTTGAGGGATGTTTCTAAACATGTAAATAAACATTTTACGAAAAGAATTTATGAAATATCACTTCTCAGTTGTGAGAAATAAATATTTGAATACAGATATTTCAGATTCTAAAAACTGCTGAAACACCCGATTTTCTAAAACCAATTTGACACAGTAAATCAACTCCAAAAATCATGAAATTTTAAGGGAAGCTTATAAACATGTATATGAACATGTTAGAGAAAGAATTTCTTAAATATCACTTCCCATTTGAGAGAAATAATTTATTTTGTAAACTGGTCAAAAATACATAACTCTGCAACACTTCATAAGTCGACTTAGAAAATGACATAAGTCGACTTGGTATAAGTCGACTTAACAGTTCGAGTAAGTCGACTTGGCAGAGAGTTTTTGCACATTCCAGAGTAGTTCATAAGTCGACTTGTCAACTCTGATAAGTCGACTTATAAACGTGCACAGGCACTGTACATGCTGAAAATCTGATTTTAAAAGTGCCTTTAAAAATAACAAATAAATTCCAAAAATTATAAAACTTTGGGAAATCATTGTAAACATGTAAATGAACATGTTACAAAAGGAAATTTTGGAATTGCACTTACCAAAAGTGAAAACTCATCATTTTATAAAACTAGTCCAAAACATGAAAAGTAAACATACATGTTTTTTGACATTTGACATAAACCATGTTTTGAAACTTTGTAAAATATTTGTATGGACATAATAAAAGATGTTTATGATGTATATATAGTCCAAAACATATTTTTCATAAAAACACCTATATTTACGAAAATCATAAATATATATGTGTGTGTATATTTGAGCTTATAGAATTAACACACATTATATAAAACCTAAACTACAAACATAATAAACTATATACCCAGGCTAGATGAAGGTCTTCAATGAGCTCAACTTGGTAAACAGGCAGATGAAGCTTGACTTGGATCTTTAACATGAATGCAATGCTTCAACCACTACTCCGCCAACCTCCATTTGATATGATCGTGAATGCGCAATTCCATCCATCCTCCAACTACGTTGTTTGTCTACAATATATAAGAATGTACAAACACTAGACAAACAACATTAGAAGTAAATTGTTTGTTAAACATCATCAAAACAAGAAGGCCAACACCAGCCTCTGGTATCTGTCACGATCAACTGGTTCTCTGGCCTCAGCACCTAGCTTGAACTTCTGGTCGATCGGTGTAGTTGCAGGTTTGCACTCTAACATTCCTGTCTCTTTGAGAAGATCCAGTGCATACTTTCTCTGGGATAGGACGATTCCCTCCGCTCCTCGAGCTATCTCTATTCCAAGAAAGTATCGAAGTAAGCCAAGATCTTTCACCTCGAATTCCTTACCGTCTCATTTTGAGATGGGCAATCTCCTTCTCATCATCCCCTGTAATAATCATATCATTCACATATACCGCAAGCATGGTAATGTGGCCTCCACTCCGTCGAAAGAACACGGTATGGTCGGCGTTGATCTGTTGGTACCCCATACCAATCATAGCCCTTCTGAATCTGTCAAACCAAGCACGAGGAGACTGCTTCAGCCCATAGAGAGACTTCTTCAATCTACAGACCTTTCCCACTGTCTGATCTGTACCAAATCCTGGTGGTATCTCCATGTATACCTCCTCCACTAGATCTCCATGAAGAAATGCGTTCTTCACATCTAGTTGGTGTAGCTTCCATCCACCATTTACTGCCAGAGAGATTAAGGTCCAAACAGTGCTCATCTTTGCCACTTACTAGCTCCCAAGTGCGGTTCTTCTCTAGAGCTCCTAGCTCCTCGTGCATAGCCGCTTTCCACTTTGGGTCCTTCTTAGCAACCTGCCAATTGTTAGGTACAGTAACAGAGTCCAATGATGCAATGAATGTCCCATGTGCAGGGTGGATGTTAGAATATGATACAAATTGGGCAAGATCCCAACCATATCTATCGGGAGGATTTCCCGCATTACTACGAGTAGTCCTCCGTACTGATATTGGTGTGGGAGGAGTAGGGAGAGGAATGTTATCAGTAGGGAGAGGAACATTATCATCTTGGGATAAAACTGGTGGTGGTGTAGGTGTTTCAGGAGTCGGGGCAGGTGTTGGCAAGAGACTTGGCAGCACTAGTGGCACTGTAGGTACTGTTCCTGCAATTTACTTGCCCTTCCTACTATAGGTTAGTAGTTCCCCCTGAACAGTGGGCCTAACACCTCTTGTCTCATTTTTCTTTTCTTCATCATTCTCCTGCTCCTCCTCAACCAATTCTCCTTCCCAAGGAATCGATACAGAAATGAATTTCTCCACATTGTTCACCGATCTCTCACTATTCTCCTCCTCTCGCCTCATACTTCTAGTATTAGGCGAGTTACTAGCGGATGAAGTTACCGTCTGGGTGTAATACGGCTCGAGTTCTCGAAAGTGCACATCCATACTCACAAACAACCTTTTCTCCACTGGGCTCCAACAAACATATCCCTTCTGAGTAGCAGAATATCCCACAAAGATGCACTTCACAGCTCTAGGGGCAAGCTTCCCGACAGATGGCCTGTTGTCCTTCACAAAGCACACACAGCCAAACACTTTAAGTGGAAGAATCCCACCATTATCTCCCTTCAATATCTCACACGGAGACTTCCAATCCAGCACTCTCAAGGGCATTCTGTTGATCAGCGCTGTTGCGGTCAACACTGCTTGTCCCCATAATGTTTCTGGGACATTCATAGAGATCATCATGCTTCTAGCAACCTCTAAGAGATGTCGGTTCTTCCTTTCCGCTACCCCATTCTGAGCTGGTGTGTATGAACAGGTAGTCTGGTGATGTATTCCTTAAGCTGATAAATATTCTTTAAACGTTCTGTTGATATACTCTGTCTCATTATCTGACCTCAATACTTTCACCACTGCTCCGTATTGAGTCTGAACAGTCCTATGAAAGTTTTGAAAGCATCCAAACACATCACTCTTATTCTTCATCAGGTATAACCAAGTAACACGAGAAAAGCAATCAATAAATGTAACAAAATATTTGTATCCATTCATAGAACTTGTGGAACAAGGCCCCCAAACGTCTGAATGTACCAAGTCAAATGCATGAGAACTTCTATGACCAGAACTAACATAAGAGCTTCTAGTAAGCTTTCCAAACTCACATGCATCACACACAAGTTTCTGTTTATTTGCTTTCTCAAATAAAGAAGGATACAATCTACCTAAAACACTAAAGGATGAGTGTCCCAAACGCTGGTGATGAAGCATTAACTCACTCTCAGCACTCATTTTAAATCCTACTGACACCAATGCTGAATCCAGCCCTTCACGATCCAGATACCACAGTCCACTACGCCATGTGCCAGTCCCAAGTCTCCGCCCTGTCCCCTTCTCCTGGAAAATCACCTTGGGAATATCAAAAGAAATAATGCATTTTAGTTGAAGGATGATAGAACTAATGGACAAAAGATTAACTGGAAAGGAAGGAGCATGCAAAACATTGGACAAAGTTACTGAACCAGTACAATTAACTGTACCCTTACCAACCACAGGCTGAAATGTACCATTAGCTGTTTGAATACTATCAGGCGATGCTAAGTGAGTATATGATGAGAACTCACTCGCATTACCTGTCACATGACGAGATGCACCGGAGTCGACTATCCATGCTGATGATCTGTCAGGAGACATAGAAGCAAGAGCATGTATGTCTTCAGTATCTTTGTTCGGATGAGCATAGGTAGCAGTATTACCTCTGGCAAAGAATGAAGTGGATGCCTCCTCAGTTCCATCCCCTGCTACTTGCTGCTTCTTCCTTAGTATCGCCAGGAGAGCACGATCCTCCTCAGTAAAGACCACCTCAGCTTCCTCTTCCTTTGCTACCGTCAGATTTGCCCGGTTTCCTGCTCCTCTTCCACCTCGTCGACCCCCACGGCCACGACCACGACCTCTGAACTGTCCACGTCCACCCGAATCTCCTTCCTTGGATGGCTTGGTGCAAGCATGCCTTAGATAACCTACCGCACCGCAGTTATAACACTGATACCATAAAGAATATGAAAACACTCATCTTATTCATGAGATAACATGGGCTTATATAGGCCCCTACAACTTACAAATAAGCCCCTAAACCTATTAATATTTCAACAAGCTTCGACGAACCAAACAACTGAAAGTGGAGGAAAACATCAAAATTTTACTATGTCAGTTTTTTCCCCCACTTACTGCACGTTTTTCACAAACCAAACAAGCCCTTACAGTAATAAGCTACAACAAAGATGCAACACAACCCAATACAATACAAGTACATATAACAATATCAAGGGAAGTAAATAAACATCCTTAGCATTACAACCTAATGCAAGCAACCCAATGCTTGCATATTACTTCACCACTAACCGCAATGACACTTGATCCCAAAGGATGACTTATTTTCTCATGCTCACAATACTTTAATCGTTTCCGATCAGATGTTGGCCTGGAGGCATATATCATGATTCTAGTAAGCCGGAGTAACTGGAGCAAAGTGTGATTTTATGCCTTATCACGGTATGCACAAGATAATTGACATTTAATTAAAGGAAATAAGATAGCTGTTCTTTCTTCCTTGAGCCTCCCTCTCCATATAAACTATTCCATTGCTTGAGCTCGCTCATTATGGAACCCTCTGCGAAACTGGCTGCAACCTGCATTGAAACAGTTCAAGAAAAGATTATTTACAAGATAAATAATACTGCTTCAAAGAGACAGATGAAAGACGGAAATAGAATGCTCACTCACAGGGAAATTTTAAAAAGATTATATAAAATGAAATGGAATCGATGAAGGATCATGCGTAAAACATGAGTTCTTATATCAAATTTAGCTAAAATCCCCTACCTCATAAAATCAAGGTGTCGTTTGGCTCATTGCAACTCTCAATTGCATATAATTACAGTTGTTACCATGTTGTCCCATACAATTGTAGTTGCAGTTGTTTGGTTCTGTTTAAAGATTTTGCAACCTGCACTTGTAGTCATAGTTTGTTCTAGGATATGAGATTTTTTTTTTCTTACTTTTTTTTTGGGAACTCAACTGAGGATTGGCTGCAAGTAGAATTATTGCTTAATCTACATTTTCAGCTCAAACAGGTCGCAACTGAGTCCAATTCAGCAGAGTCGTCAACTGCAACTGGAAATTTTCTGCAAATGCAAAATCAATTGCATTTTTATTGGTTGCAATGAAACAAACCACTGCAACTAATCTATAGTGTCTCGTTTGCATGCAATTACGGTTACAACCCCTTCGATTGCACTGAACCAAGCAACCAGAGAATGTTAAGGTACTTGTGTCTTTTGATAAGGAAACCTACTTAGAACACAAGTACAACCCTGTACGCTTGATCGTGACTACATAGTTAGGTAGGAAGCTTAAAATTTATTTATATGTTCATTTATATTTTAAGGGTAATTATTATGAAACTCCCTTCAGATTTGACAATTTATTATGAAACCCTCTAACGTGTTTTTTCATTACAAAACACCCTGATGTTTAAGAAAACTATTAAAACTCCTTAATTTTTACCTTTTACTCTAAAATACCCCTCGATAAAGTTTCTCTTCTTCCTCAAACTATTGCAAAACCTGTCTCCCCTCTCTTCACATGAAACCCAAGTGACATTAACAAGATAAATTTAGTATAAGATCAATGTAATGTCTTCAACCCTTTGATTTTAGCCTCTATTTGGCACAAATTTCAATTCCAATTTATGTCTTGCCTTGCCTTGGGTGAAAGAGGACACATGTTAAGAGGAAGAAGAAGAGGGTGGTTTTGGATTATAAGTATGTTTTAACAGTTTTCTTATGAAAAATAACATTAGGGGTTTCATAATGAACCGTCAAACCTGAAAGGGCTTCATAGACTATTTTTAATAATCATGACAATATATGCAAATAAATTTACTAAGCAATAAGCAATAAGCAATAATCACATGCCTTTTTTAATTACAGTTCAGTTATCCAGCACATGTAGTGTTGAAAATAGGAACATAAGTTGAACACATCTAATATTCATCAATATTTGCTACCACTGCCATTTAAAACTTTATTCCATTAATTACAAACTACTAATTTGTCATAAACTTGCGATAGAATAAAATACCATCATGGGTAGGTAAAATAATACTTACTTGATTCTTTGCTTGTCTCATGTCTTCCATGTTTAATGGCCTGAGTGTGATATCCGGTTTCCCAACCTCCCCAACAGTTTCTAAAGCCTCTGGATCCTCTCCTTTTCCTTCCCTCCTCTTCTTCTCCTGGTAACAAAAAGTTTCACATTAGAAATAAAGCATGCCCAATCCAAAAGCAGACAACTGTAAATGTTTAGGAAAAGAAGAAGAAGAAAAAAGGAGCATCTGAGATCAGATTTGGACCATGGTTAAACACAAGAATGAGATTTGACATCAGATTAAATTGCCCATACGAATAAATTTGTTTACAAACTGACTATTGTTGCATTAGCTTGTGAAATAGCATGGAATGATCAAAAGTGAAAGAAGATTGACTATCTGATTTTCAGTTGGCTATTTGTGTTACTAAGCACCTTGTTTTAATAGGAGAAGGGGAAAACACATCTCCTGGGCTCTGTCCGTTATACTTTGCGACCTACTAAAGTTAGCCCATTATTCTTTGGTTTCCAAGCTTAAACTGTAAGATTGAGAACGCCAGGTCTATATACTAGCCGATTGAACATCTTAGTTCATAGAAGGCCTCTAATTCGCTCATATTTTCCTCCACAGGAAATTTACATTAATCCATGACATGTTGCTATCAGCCTCATGGTAGTTGTAACTTGAACTTCCTCAACTTTGAGTTGCATCCCGTGAGAAACCCATCTTTTTGACAGAAAAAGGTTTGGATAATATCAGATAACAGTTAAAAGAACTTGTTTAGTAACTGCATCAACCTTATCATCTTAATTTCAGTATACAAATTGAGAAAGAAATCCCATAAAGTAAAAGGAAATTTCAAGACTGGAGTTTCTCAACATGCGAACATAAATCTTTTCTTTTCCAAATGTAATTTGACAGTCAATTATATATATATATACACACACACACACACACACACACACACACACACACACACACACACACATATATATAAAGAAATCCCATAAAGTAAAAGGAAATTTCAAGACTGGAGTTTCTCAACATGCGAACATAAATCTTTTCTTTTCCAAATGTAATTTGACAGTCAATTATATATATATATACACACACACACACACACACACACACACACACACACACACACACACACATATATATATATATATATATATATATATATATATAGAGAGAGAGAGAGAGAGAGAAATGGAGAACCTTGGTACCAAGTTGCTTAAATCAACTTGGTAGTGATGTGGCATAATCTTGCCCCTACATCATACCTCGAAGATAGAGCCTCAACCACCCTTCACCAACTCCAATGTAGATGTAGGGACAAGATTATGTCATATCACTACCAAGTTGCTTAGAGCAACTTGGTACCAAGTTTTTCCATTTTTCTCATATATATATATATATATATATATATAATCTTGCCCCTACATCATACCTCGAAGATAGAGCCTCAACCACTCACTGTAGAAAAACTATCTGATTATATGTGTGTGTGTGTGTGGTGTGTGTGTACGTACGTACGCATGTGTGTGTGTAGTATTCATATAATCAGATAGTTTTTCCTTACATGGGAATCAAGCTTGAGACATTTGGAGCCATATCAGAACATCCCAAACATTCGGGTCACCAACAGTTCTCCTATAATCAGATAGGTTAAATATGAACACATGCTATTAAAAGTCATATATAAACGGCTATGGATAATTCCTCAAGAAATAGGTAAATCCAACTGACACTTCAATTAGAGTGTAGCTTACCCAATATAGCACGTCAAATTACACAAGTTAATAATATCTCTTTTGACAGTGAGTGTTTGAGAATTTGAGGGCCACATCATTGCAGTTTCTTATGTTGGAAATTTAAGAAGCACAAGAAGGAGAAGTTTCCCAAAGTAACCACAAGAGCTACGGAATAAGGAAAGTCCACGTTCTTATTTGTCATTGAGATTTTCAAATTTTGCTTGCAAGTTTTGTTGAATTTGGTGATGTACAATGTTGTACATTATTGTGTCGTGAGTTTAAGAGTTGAGAAGGACGTTAATGTGATGAGATCATGGAGGAAAAAATAATAATTAATCAATGAAAGCTTCTTAAGTACAATTGAATTTTTTCCACCAAGAAACACGACAAACGTTTACGAATGTTGCTTCGAGAAGTAGATACAAATTACGTTCATTTTTGCTCCATGACATCAAGAAATAAATTACAAACACATAAACTCGAATGGACAAATATTTATTTTGTTCTAATACGAACACCTAGCTAACATCAAATTCATAGCCATCTTAATTAGTTTTCTTAACATACTTTCATCTCACATAGCTCATATAGTTACATTTATTTCAACATATATTAAATATGATTCATAAGCTCGTAGGCCCTCATCGGCTCAACCACATGATAGCGGGTAGGGTTTTAGGATCAACCTTCTGCTAATGCTAACATTAATTATATCTAACTGTGATAGAGTGTTTCTCCTTTCGTTTTTTCTAAGTTCATTAAATATTATTTATTATTATTATTAAGCTAGAGTTTATATTGAGTAAAAACTCTATTCAGCAGTCTTCACAATCTACAGTGAAAGTTACAATCTGACGACTTTCACACTCCACAACAGCTAAAGCTAGGATTACTGACCAACGATCCTTGCAATGCTCTGTAGAAGAGGTTACTGATCAACTAACCCCTTTTAAAACATGGAAGTTATCCCTGCGTTACAATTCGGGAAGTGCAGGCGACCCCCGCGTTTCCAAGCTACAACAATTCAAACGCGAACGACCCTCGCGTTCTTTAGGTTCAACCAACACCCGACCCCAGCGTTTCCAAGCTGCAACAAGCAAAGCACGAGCGACCCTCGCGTTCATCAATGTTCAGTCAATACCCAACCTCGCGTCTCAATTCTAAGACACGAAGTTGGGGTTCTGAATGTCAGATTGGGCGTTTGACTCGTTCAAACATGAGTCGAACGGTTTTAGAACTGTTTTCCCTACGATCTGAGGAAATCACCCCTACTTAGGAGTGGATTTAGAGGGCAGTTATAACCTCTTATCCACCTATAAAATCTCAACAAACTCAATGGAGTAAGGGTTGGATTTTTTGGAATGGAAAATCAAGAGCAGAGAGCAATAGAGGCGAATTCTTTGGAGATAGAAGATTTGAATCATATCTAAAAGATCAAATCTAAGAGGATCCTTCAACAACAGAATATCGGCTTGATCATTAACCGAATCTTCGGTTCTAACAACTCTATTCACAGAGTTCTAACTCGTTCAGAGTTCTTAAACTCGTTAAAGAGTTACCCATCAAACTTTCCACAGAAGTTCATCG